ATTCTTTCTTTTGCACTGTGGCGGGTGAGCTGGAAACATACGTGCACTGCACTTGCATACTCTTGGGACATCTTGGAAGTAAACTCCATGACTCCCGGTCTTTCAGACGTTGTTTGTCTTGTTTGTCCTCTATGGACAAGGCTAAGTTGTTGTGATTCTGACTGGTCTGGAACACTGTTGCTTCCAAAGCAGGTTTGGTTGTCACAAGCGCGCAGTGTTCTAGGTGTGGTTTCAGGTGAGGTGCTGTTCCATTACAGGGAATGGAGGTGTTTGATATGCTCACCTGGGTTGGGGTTTGCGTTTGGTCAACACAAACTGTCCCTCCTATGGCCCATCCGAGTTCCGGCGGGTTCCGTGGGGCTACAACGGTGGAAAGATCTTGTTCCTCTCCCCGCTGTATAGGCGTTGCCATTGCTGGTGGACCCGTCCGGTTGCCATCAAAGGTATGGTTCTGCAGGTTCAATGGGGCAGCAATGATAGGAATGTCTCGTTGCTCTGCCCACTGTGGAGCCGTTGTCGCTGCTGGTGGACCCATCCGATTGCCATCAGTGGTGTGGTTCGATGGGTTCCGTGGGGCGGCAACGGTGGAAAGATCATCTTGTGCTCCCCGCTGTGCAGTTGTACCTGTTGCTGGTGGTCCCATCCGGTTGCCATCAAGGGTGTGGTTCGATGGGGCAGCAACAGTGGGAAGATCCCGTGGCCTAGTTGTTGCGACATCAACCCTGTGGCTGACTGGCACATCTGGCCGTTGAGATTCTTCTGTTCGTCTACTCAGTCTCGGGGGGCTTGTGGCTGGCTGTGGTCTTACCTGTTCACGTTGAAACGCACTTTGGTTGTCCATGTAGGCCTGCACACGGCTATGAGGGATTTCTCTTGCTAGCCCTTCCAGCCTGTTCATAGATGTAGCGTTATCTAGCTCTCTCTGCAGAATTGCTTCTATTTGGGCAGCCTCTTTTGCTTTCTGTTGTCGCTGTGAAATCTCATAGTCGGCCTGAGCTTTGATCATATCTTCCTTTTGCTGATGTTCTGCTTCTGTTACACGTAGAGCTGCACGTAGAGCTGCTGCAGTCTCCGCTTTGGCCAAGTCTTCCTTTTGCTGCTTTTCTTCTACTGCTGCTTGGGCAGCGACTCCAGCCATTGCGGTATTGATTCGCGCTTCTGCAAGACGAGCAGCAATGCTCTCTGCCCTTGAGGCTCGAGATGATTGGCCCTGGCGAGAAGAAGCCTTTGAATGGCGGGAGGCGCCTGTGACATGAGACTGTTGTGACACGCTGGAATGTGCCTTGGATATGTGGCGAAAGGATGAGGCCCTTCCAGACGCATGGGATGGAGCCACGTGCGACCGTTGGGACGGTGCATGTGAACGGCGGGAAAGTTCAGACTCTGCCCTGTCAACCTGTCTGTCTCTCAGGCGAGGTTCGCATTCTGGAGGGCGTTGTGGGCTCTCTAGAAGCTTCTTGCGTTCCTCGTTCCGTAACCGAAGACTTTGCATGTCGCGGTCGACTTCTGAGTCTCTTAATTGCTGCTGGATGTCCTTGAGTTGCCGTTCGGAGTCCATCCATTGTGTGAAGGTGTCTTCCTTATCTCCTTCCAGTGCGTGAGCACGTTCGGGGGAGAGATCCTCTTTTTGCTCTTGGTGGAGTTTGTGCCATCTCTCCTAGCTTCTTTCATGGCGCTTGTACACGGTGTGCCATTTCTCCAACAGGTTTGCATGCATGGCTTCAGTTGGCTTTCTTTGTTGTCTCAGATCATAGTGACTTTGAGACGTCTTTGGTCTTACTGAGGCATGAGCTTCAGCGTCTGTGTACAGGTCAAGGGTGGCTGTTTGCGGCACTTCTCCTTGGCTGTCTGGTTGGGGTGTCCCAACTAGGCTGGTTGGTTGAACCCCTTCATCTAGATCAATGAGACACTCCGCCATGGTTAGGATAGGTTCAGTGTTCTTCTCAGCTATTTTGAAGCAAATTTGAAGAACTTCTCTCTTTGACCACTAGGGGTCGCTACTTGCCGATCAGCGTCAGAGGTGCTGTTTGTGGGTGGAGGTGCCACTGGGAGCGTTCTCCTGTGGTTCCTAGCTGTTTAGAAGCAAATTGGATGAACTTCACTTGTTGACCACTAGGGGTTGCTATCTGCGTATCAGCTACCGGGGTGATCTTCTTTTGAGGTACACCCTTTGTCCACTAGAGGGCTTTCTCTGGGCGTGATTAAAGGCTCGCGTGTAGCTCCTCCTTTAACCACTAGGGAACGTCTGAAGAGAGGTCAGCCAAATTCTTCCTATTACCACGTTCCTGCAGTGGCCACTGAGAGGCATGAACTCCCACCTGGTCGTTAAGTTGCAGGCTGGAACACTGGGTATTCAGCTTGTGATAATAGGCAAGGATTGGTGGCTATGGTCCTTCTTCTTTGTCTTTCAAACTGGAAGAAACTTGGGTCTTCAGCTTGATTGGGTGAAAGCTCTAGTAGGGGGTGTATGCTGAATTAAATTATCAAATTGTTGTGATGTGAAAAGGAAAAATTTTTTTTTCAAGGTGTCACGTGCAGATTAGCCACCAGGGGGCACTACTGCCCTGCTGTTGGGCCTCTGTATGGCTTCTTTCTATTAACATACTTGAAATTCCAAAGGGAGGGGGGAGTTTAGCATCTTTCGCCAGTATTGAGGTTTTATGACGGAGAGAGAGAGCAGCTTAATTGCTTAATTGCTTTCCTTAGCAACCACGAATGTGCCCTGCTTTTGCTGAGGGAGCAAATGGTCACAATGTTCGTGCTGGGGCCAGAAAGGAGGGGGAGAATACCCTTTCCAAGCATCAAACAAAGACAACAATTTTTCTAAGGTTAGCAAGAAACCCTTTCCATCCGGCTATGTTCGTTTAAAGTGTCAGTCTCATATAATCCCAGACATTCCAAGACAAGCAAGTTGAATTCACGTGCTAACGAGGCTGACTGAAGCGGTAACAACACCCACTGACTCCTTCGCTTAACAAGCAAACTGAGTTGAGCTCACAGATGATCTTTGAAGCCATCCCTTCATTGCCTCAGGACGTTTAAGCTGCCGGTGAAGGAAGGGGGAAGGGGGGGTTTCTATGGCAACTGCTTTGGTCCTTTTAAAAGTGAAAAGCCACAGAAAGGCAGTTGGCTTGTAAGCACTTTACAACTTTGCTTTTCTTTAGTTGAGAGTCAAATGCGAAGATACTTTGAATTTACTTGCAGACATTTAGTGAGAGATTAGTTCCATCAAATTACTGTTGCTTTATAAAGTTGATAAAATGCAGATCAGAGGAAGATTAATCCCATCCAAATTTACTGGTGCATGAGATCAGAGGAGAATTAACATATGTCAATTTACTATTCTGTTCTGGACATGAAACTTGCTCTTTCAGTCTGGAACAGATAGATAACTCAGAAGAACAAACAGGAAATATTGCTTTATTCTGGGAATCCTAAACAATGACTTACAGTTTGTAGAGGTGCATCCAAAATAGGTTTCAGCAATCTGATTGTCCCACAGATAAATTGACATTAGATTTCCCCCTCTTCTCCCAAGCGTCACATGGTGGGGTGATTGAGGGATTTCCAGCCGTGTGGCTGGATGTGATGGCCGAAGAACAAAGGCTGACCCCAGGCTAGTGTCCAGGGATGCCTTTTGAAGCTCCGCCCCTGACCCTAACCCCTCCCCTTGACCTGTTACATAGGGACACATAGAGTTATGCAAGATACATGGATCTATGTGATCCAGAACAAGGGTGGTATACAGTATAATCAACATATAAAACAGCATATAAAATTAACAATAACATATTAAGATTAATTTAGGGTTAAAAACTTTAAAATTAAAAGATTATAACATTATAAAATTTCAAAGAAATAAAAATAAGAATTCCAAGATGGTCATTTAACACAGGTTAATAAGGCAGAGAGAGGGCTCTCATGTCACCAGCCAACCCTACAATGGCATGGACTTTTGTGCCTCCCATGCAAGGTCACAGAGTCAGGTTTTGATTTCTTTATGGGAAACCAGGAGAGTGGGGCCTGCCTTACCTTTGGGGAAAGGATATTGCATAATGCAGGGACAGTGGCAGACAAGACTGCCTTCCTAGACCTCACAAAACCAGCTTCCATATACTTTTCAAGGGTAGCCCGATGTAGAGCACATTGCAATAGTCTAATAGAAAGAAAACTAGGGCATGAGTGACAAAGTGGAGAGCCCCTTGTCCAGGAAAGGACACACAATGCAGAGTTGGACAAAAGAACCTCCTAGCCAAAGCTTCCACCTGCTCCTTGAGCAGGAGCCATGAGTCTAAGAGGACCCTGAAGTTACGTAGCAGTATTATATGTGTCACCCTAGGATTCCCCAAAAGTGTGCATGTCATTGCAATCTGCACCAGTTTTAACTTCTGAACAAGGGTAGTCCAAATAGAGCATATTGTAGTAATCCAACCAAGAGATAACTAGGGCATGAGTACCTGTGCACAGGGCCTCACGATCTAGGTAAGGGTACAACTGGCATACATGACAAATTTGTGCAAAGGCCCTCCTAGCCACCGCCTCTTAAACAGGAGACACAAGTCCAGGAGAACCCCCAGATTGCCCACTGGGTCTGTCTATGGCACAGGTCGGCAACCTGCGGCTCCCAGCCTTTTCTGCCATTTGCAGAGTGAGACAGAGACAGAAAGAGGCACTTGCGCTTCCCTTCTCTCTCTCTCTCTCTCTCTCTCTCTCTCTCTCTCTCTCTCTCTCTCTCTCTNTGTGTGTGTGTGTGTGTGTGTAAAAGAGAGTGACCTCACCCTGTTCGACAAGCTGAAAAGCTTATTGGGCGGGGCTCCTCCCTTTGCTGCGTGTCTGCAGGAAGCAGGAAGGGGAGGAGAGAGCTAGCCTGTTGCAGAACAGGTTGAAGCTAGCTTGCCAGGTGAGCAGAAGATCGAAGAGAGGGAGAGAGAGGGGGGGAGAGAGAGAGAGAGAGAGAGAGAGAGAGAGAGGAAAGAGAGAGAAAGAGAGGGAGAGACAGAGGGAGAGGAAAGAGAGAGAGGGAGAGGAAAGAGAGAGAAAGAGACAGAGGAAAGAAAAAGAGAGAAAGAGAGATAATAAAGGTAAAAAAGGATATATGCAGTGTTATCTTCATTTTAGATATCAAAAGGGTTTAGCGGCTCCCAGTGTTTTGTTTTCGGTGGGAAACGGGTCCAAGTGGCTCTTTGAGTGTTTTGGGTTGCCTACCCCTGGTCTATGGTAATGCAAGCCCATGCAGAATTAAAGATGATAAACATCTGGATCCTGAGGTCCCTTGCACCCATAGTCACTCTATTTTCTCAGGATTCACCTGAAGCCTGTTGTCCCCTATCTAGACCTCTACAGCCTCCATGTACTGAGAAAATGCAGCCACAGCATCACTTGGCTCACTAGGATGGAAAAAGTAAAAGTGTGTATCATCAGCATACTGATGAATCTCTTCCAATGGTTTTGGGTGTTCTCACCCAGCAGTTTCATGTAGATGTTAAAAAGGAGTGAACATTGAGCCCTGCAGCACTCCACAAAGGAAGAGCCATGAGCTGGATCTCTCACTCCATATTAACACCGATAAGGACTGGCCTTGAAGGAAGGAAGTGAACCAGAACAAAAATGTGCTGCCCACTCTCAATTCCTTAAGTTGGCCCAAAAGGATAGCATGGTTGGTGGTATTTGAAAGCTGCTGAGAGATCCAGGAGAGAAAGGATGGATGTTAGGCTCCAAAAACCAAGAAAGACACATTGAAATTCTTCTAAGCAGTTTCCTTGATTGCTTCTCACCTATAGATAGAAATCTTGCCAAACTGAAACAGCCTTTCTTTTGCTTCTCTGGAATGCACTTCTTCCCTCCTGGGAATCCACACTACATTCCCTTACAGACCTTCCCAGGGGGCTTCCAACAGCAAAGTCAATGGTGGAAACCAAATTCATTAATGACCACATGATTCACTTAACACCTGCCATGATTTGCTTAACAACCATGGCATAAAATGTAAATCATTTAATGAATGCATTGCTTAGTGATGGACATTCCACTCCAATTCTGATTGTATATTGAGGACTATTTATATGTCTTGAAGACTCAGTTCTGCCTCTAAAATAGATTGGTAGACTAGACCAGTGGTGGCGAACCTATGGCACGCGTGCCAGAGGCGGCACGCGGAGCCCTCTCTGTGGGCACGTGCCATCGCCCCAACAAATGTGGTCTCTAAAAGTTCGCCATCACTGGCCTAAGGCCAGCCAGCCTGGAGCCGCCATTGGGGAGCCCACCATCCCACCCGCCAGAGACCCCCTGGATCTCCCTCAACCCTGCCCGGCTCCCCCAGGTGTCTCTCCCCATAAGCAACATCAAGGTGGCCACGCCCACCCCAGCCATGCCCACCCAATCTGCCATGACTACTGCAGCCACACTCATCCAGTGGCCACGCCCACCCAGTCTGCCAAGCCCACTGTAGCTGCACCCGCCGAGTGGGCCACACCCACCCAGCACCCAGCGATACATAAGTGGGTTTTGGGTTGCAGTTTGGGCCACTCGGTCACTAAAAGGTTTGCCATCACTGAGCTAGACTGAAATTTTATATTTATTGGAACTTGAAAAGTACATTTCGGGGGCGGGGTAGTTTTTCTACATGCTTTCTTTTCTTTTTCTTTCTATGCAGTTTTTAAAGAACTTCTAACAAGATTGTCTGAGGACAAAAGAAATGGTGCTCCTCATCTTCCTAAAATTGGTGATATTAAAAAAGCAAGCCGTTATTCCATCCCAGATCTTGCAGTTGATGTGGAACAGGTGATGGGTCTGGAAAAAGTAACAAAGAAAAGCAAAGCCAACACTGTTGGAGGAAGAAACAAGTTAAAGAAAATACTGGACAAAACCCGCATCAGTATCCTGCCTCAGAAACCATACAAGTGAGTGTGCTATTTGGAAGAACAATATGCTTTCATTAGATATATCACTGGTGCATTTTTTAACATTGACAAATGATTATAAACAAAAAGCATAGAGGTATAAGCCGGGGACAGTCTGAAAACCTCTAGCATAAAGCAGGTACTGCAGGTACACTAGGAACAAGCAAACTGCAACTGGTTGTAAATATGAGGCAATTGTCAAGCACCTGAAATTTGGTCATGTGACTGTGGGAGGGCCAGCATAATATTGCATAATACCTGTAAATGCTTTACAAGCCACAAAGCACTCTTTCTAAGCTATCATAACTTTGAAAAATTAAAGTCATAAATCAAAGACTACTTTGATTTATTTTAAGTATTGATTTATTTATTTTAAATATTTGTATAGCCACCCATCTTATAACAAACTCTTGGCATCTCCCAATTCAAGCATTTAGGTATTCACGTTTACCTAAAATAGAATTAGCAATGTAATCTTCATGAATTAAAATTGTTTCTTCAAAATTAAATATCTACATCAAGGGTGTCAAACTCAATTTCATTGAGGGCCGCATCAGCATTGCGGTTGCCCTTGGGGGGCCGGGTGGGTATGGTCAGGGTGGGTGCGGCCTACTGGGTGGGCATGGCTGGAGTGGGTGTGGCCTACTGGGTGGGCATGGCCAGCTGTACATCGTTTGCATCAAGGGTGCCTGTGGAGGCCTGGGCAGGAGTGGGACAGATCTGAGGGTCTCTGGCAGAAGGGGGTGGGACCGGGGCAAGCGCCAAGGCATGGTCCATTTCTTCATTCCTCACAAAGGGTGACACTTCCCCAGCATGCACGCAGGGGGCGGGGCCGACGTGGCAGGGGCTGGTTCCTCGCTGTTTCCAGACGGCCTTGTGGAGCTAAGACTGAATGCGTTTCAGCATAGATGGCCACCGCAAAATTGTACACTGGCTCCCGGCCGGCCTGGGCCAGGGCCAAGGCAGCGGGGCCGTTCCCTCACTGTTTCCAGGATGGCTTCACGGGCCACATGAAACCACTTCGTGGGCTGCATCCGGCCCCCGGGCCTTGTGTTTGACATGTCCGATCTACATAGTACAATAATATTATGTATTCACGTGAGTCAGAAACTTAAATTACTTTCAAAAAACCATTTTTGTTGAATAGCACTGGCCTTTTAATTTTCCTTATTCTCAAAATCAAATGAAGCTCAGTATTATTTGAATATTTTGATCATTAGAGTCTGATTTATATCAGAAAGATTAAATAATTGTTTCATTGTAAAGATGCAGGAAACGTGCCTTTGTGTATTCTTGAATAATTTGGGAACTGAAGCTAATTACATACATAAGTACATATAGTAGGGAATGGTGTGAAAATTAAATATATCAGCATTTATTCTCCTGTAGTTTTAAAATGCTATTCCATCCATGGACACATCCACGGCACTGTAGCAAACTTGAGCTTTTCACTTTTATCAGTGTCTAGATATATTAATATCAGTTCATCTGTTATCAGACTAGTGAATATATTTTAATTTATTATGGTTGTTTTTTCAAAGTTATCAAATTTATGAATGTTATGGGCCAATGAGTTTAGAACAGCAAGAAAACTCATAAGGATACATTACATTATATACAAGAATAACTGTGTAAGCAGAGTAACTATGTTTCTCTTCTGTTACTGTAGTGATATTGGAATTGGTCAATCTCAGGATGATAGCATTGTAGGTTTAAGGCAGACCAAGCACATTCCTCCTGCTCTACCTGTCAGCGGAACACTATCATCAAGCAATCCTGATTTACTGCAGTCACATCACCGCATCTTAGATTTCAACACAACCCCAGGCGAGTATCAAATTTTGATTGCCGTCAATGAATTAACCTTTTATTTTGCTGATGGATATAGAAACTGAAATGAAAATGTGCACCTTAAGTTCACTTGAGTTTACTTTGTGTCACAGTGAAATACATAGAAATGGGTAAGACTATTTAAGTGCGCAAATTAAACAATATACTAAATTATATCCAGATATGAGTTGCTACTTGATATGGCCCTTGATTATTTTGATAAATATTGTTTGAATTTGGGGATATGTGATCTGCTGTATGTAAAATCTTTTATATATTCTCATCCCATTTTTACAGAATACAAACATTTTATAAAAGAAAACTATTTGTGTGTTTGCTTGCTTCAGCTGTTTTATACCAGCCAGCTAAAAACAATTGGCAGCTTGTGTTAGGATTAAATAAGTGATACTGAAACAAATAACCAAAAAACTCTCTCTGTACTACTTATTATTAGATATACTGTATAGAACTATGCCAAAAATAATCTGGGATGTAGTTTGACCTGTAGACTTTTAAATACTATTTCAAACATAGAGAATCTAAGCCATTATTTAGAATGAATCACAGAAGTTATCTAGTCCAACTATGCTGCTCTGTAGTATCTTTAACAAATGGCCCTCCAACTTCTTCCTGAGGACCTCTAACAAAGGTGAACTCATCACATCATTGGAATATTTTCCAGAGGCTAGCATCCCATAGGATTGGGAAGCTCGTTTTAGTATCCAGACGGAACTTACTTCCTTGTGGCTTTAAACATTGGCTCTGATCCTCTGAAGCAGTAGAGAAGTTGTGTGACAACCCTTTAGATATTTGAAGATTGCTATGATATTTTATCCTACCCATATTTTCAGTAAACTAAATATTCTTAGATCTTTTAACTGTTCTTCATGGCATATAGAATTCAGTTAAGAGAATAGTAAAGAGAAAGAGATGACAATTGAGAAATATACATTTTCTGAAGAAGTTTATTGTTAGAAGTTAGTAAATACAAAGCAATTTTAGTTTATAAGGAGAAGTAAAGTATTATCTTGTAGCATTGCTGATAATGATTATAAATTACTATATACTTCCTCAGCAAATGCTGTGTGCTTTTTTGAAAACTATTTCTTGTACTATATATTCTGTTTATTTAATGTCAATATATATTGTTCCCTTAGGAATTTTTAAAGGAAGTTGGATTCAAATCTCAAGTTGCAGTGTGTATTTTAATAGCATGTGCACAGTTTAAATTGGTTGCTGTTAGTATTGACTGTATAAAGATTAAGATGGAGGAGCATCCAGGCATTAGTACTTAAGGTTACTAAAATGGCGAAAAAAGATAGAATTGTTGTCTAATATAGTTAAGAAGTTTGTAGTGCTGCTTAGGCAAGAATGCTTAGTTACATGAATATTTTAAACTTGTAGTTAGCTTTTCCAGAGTAATTGGTTTGTACATTGAAATTTTCAAATTAAATTTTAATAGGTGTGAGTCCAGATATGTATTTTAAATCTGATTACTTCTTTATCTGAGGCATTCACTTAAGATCTTTAAATTATACTTTTATGCAAGACACTAATTAGATATTACATTTCCTTCACTTGAATTTATTGTGACATAATGCATTTCTTGGTAGAAAGACAGATTTGAAACCTTACGTATTATAGTGTCCATTCCATAACATACTTGTATGAGAGGCATACAGGTGGTCCTTCATTTACGATGGTAACTAGGACTGGAATTTCTGTTGCTAAATGATGCAGTCATAAAGCATGACAGCATGTCTTAGTGACAGTAATCCCTGCAGTCTCACTGAGATTGTTAATGAAATCCCACAGTGGTTATGCAAGGCAAAATCCTGCTGGCTTTCCACAATCAAAGTCAGTGGGGAAGCTGTAGTAAGTTGCAAATTCCAGGGTGGCAGGCAGGTGAGAGGTCACTGCTGGGTGGGTAAGGGAGTGCACAGGATGCAGGAAAAAGTTAAGGAGGCAATACAAGGAAAGGTCAAGGGCCAGGGTGAGTAAGAGGCATGGATCAGGGAAGGGAGCAAGGAGATACTCAAGGTATGGTGCAGGTCAAGGAAGGTGTGTCGGGGTGAGGAGGTGTTAGATTTGCATGGCATGGATCAGGGATGCTGCAAGGAGATGGATGAGTCTGGGTTATGGAGAGTATGAACTCCAAAGTAATGTGTACCTCTTCCTTTTCATCATTAGTACACTCAAAATGAAGAGATTCAAATAATTTCCTCCACTTGCTGCAAATCACAGTTTCAGATTATATTAGAATATTCAATTCTTAATTTAATATCTGTGATTCATACACAAAAGTTCTGTAGTCTGCTATGTTCAGAGCTTAAGATTTTGACAGGAGCTCTACCTTGTTATAAAACATTTCACAAAAAGATAGGACTCCTGCCAACCATTTCAGTTCAGTATTTTGATTTCTATTCAAAAACATCTTAATTCTTCCTCTCGTGTTTTCAATATTTGCTTGGTATTGTTAGAATGTATGGCCTCCAGGCCTCTTAAAATACTTGATAGTTGAGTTGTGGAGGCCCACTTTTCCTTATGAAGAGAAATTTTTGTAGCCTGTCTTCATAAAAGGCAATTGTAGAAGCATGTTCTTAACAAATCATGGTATATGTGTATCTGGGAGCACACTTTGAGCATAGCTAACATGGCAGTTATGATTACCCCCAAATCGCCATTTAAACCTACTTGTTCCTCTTCCTTTCCAGTAATGCTAAATCAGTTATCATCAACTATCCTGAGCCTTCAAGTGAAGGGTCAAATTTCAAAAGTGAAATACCATTCTCTTCCCACACCGTGTATTTATTAATATTCTTATTTTTTCATGATTGTTATTGAGCAAAAGCAGATGTTTTATTACTTCTTTTTAAGATATTGCATAATAGTATTATGAAACTGAGTCTCTAGTCATTCTTCTGTTTCACCATCCATCTAGTTTGCTATTCAGAAATTCACTTTCAGAGTTTTACTGACAAATCTATCCTTATGTATCTTAAAACAATTAGTCCACCCAGAGTCCTTTTACTGGTGAGAGGGCCAGTATATAAATTTAATAAATAAATCATCTCAATACCTCTGTCCATTTCTTTACAGGATGCCATTGTTGGAGATCAGACACAATTCTTTCCTTAGAACACATGCAGTCCTTCACAGAGCAGGTTTTACGGTGCACTGTGACCTAATGATCAAAAATCAGAGCAGTGAATGCAGAATCGTTTCTTTCAGCTGGTGCAAAACAAACAATAATAGCTATTCAAATACAAATGTTTTCACCTTTGCTAAAATTGACTAAGGATTCATTGTTTAAGCTCTCTTTGATGCCCTTTGCATCAAAGCACCTGAAAATCTTTACTCAAAAAAAGGTCTGTTCTTTTCCTTTTCAGTACTTCCTATATAACTCAGTAATTTATATCTCATTGGTCACAGAGTCCACATTTTACCCCAGGAGATAATGATGAGCATAACTGGATATGATGATTCACTAGTTTTGTTTATTTATGTATTTGCCCCTGATGAATTTGTCTGGCAAAACATTTCATGTGAGAGAAGGTGTTGTCTTTAATTTTCTTCCTGATGATAAAAAGGAATGTAACCAAACTGAGAGATTCTACTGAGGCTGAGAGAGAACAAGAAGTATCTCCAGGCTCAAGCAAGTAGATGGCTGATGTTGTTATGGACTCATCAAAGAAATAGATTGTTAGCCTACCATGTAAACTCTCTGAAAAGAATAAATACAAAAGTTTCAGAGACTTCCCTTAACAAATCCACTATTAAGTAGGGCTGCAGAGCCCCCATTCTCAAGATTCTCTACTTTAATCTTTAATTCTTAGCATTAAAACTAATTAATTTTCTAATGAACATGAGTATGATCATGTTTACTTGATCATATTCTGCAAATAAGGGTTTGACACAAGAGTATTGTGGATAATGGAGATTCTGCCGCAGGATTTACCATCTCTGGCCATATGATCCTTGGAGCATATCTAGAGTATATTAGATTACTTCACTAGGTAGCATAGAAATTACCATTTTTTTAAAAAATCACAATTTTTCCATGTGGGATAATCCAATTCTTCAGATCAAGTCTCAACATAATAGGTTCTATTTCTTCCACGTGACTGTTTTGGGTACATTACACAATCTAATTTCCAAATTATCTGGTCACCTAGTTTCACTGAAGTTAGTCTTTCATTTATTCAGTTACCTTGGCTACATACCTTTGCAATACAAGATGGGAACTTCCTCATAAGTAAAAACAAATATGAGCTCTGTTCTTCTTCTTGTGCCATATCCGTTATCGGATGTTGGCGATCATGTTGGCGATCCTGTTTTTATCAGCAGCCGCACGAAAAAGTGCTGCTGAGTTTTGTCCAAACCAATCCCTTAGTTTTTGAAGTCATGATGTTCTTCTTCTGCCTGGACCTCGTTTGCCTTCAATCTTTGCCTGGAGGATTAAATGGAGGATGCCGTATTTTTCTGGGTGTCGCATCACATGTCCGAAATAAGCTCTGTTACCTGAGGAAAATCCCCTTCTTTATAACAATTAGATGAACTTCCTGATGATATTCAGGAGTAATCTTCCTTTAGAACATTAATCAAGTGATTGTTGAAGTCCTTGTGAACAATGCCACATTAAAGTACTATCTGAAGAAACTGTATGAAATTACTATTGCTAATCAGGTTTGCGCTGAAAACTTTGAGATCGGTGTACTTTTCTTTCTTGTGGCCATTTGTCTGGCAGAGAAAGACAATATAGTGGCAGATATGGATACCTAGGCATTACTGAACATTTGGAAATGAAACTTCAAACAATCAAACCTTTTCCATGAATAGAGGTTGTGTCTCTTAGAAATTTACTGAATAACATGATCAGAGCCTTTGACTTTTGTCAGGCATAATATGTTGGTCCCTTTCAAAATGCAGTATTTGACTAAGCTCTCCTTTCTTAGCATTTCCCTGAAGCATCTACCTCCAGATTCAGTTGCTGGTTAATCACCTATACATATGACTCAAACAATGATCAAGAACTGGTTACACAGTGGTAACTTGCTTTGTAACTGATCATCCATACATTTAAACAGGCCAGCAAACCATCCTACTCAAGACTGAGACTAGTATATAGTTTGGATGCAATCTGGTTGTCATGAGAATTGAAATGGTTGGAGACATTGCTGCCTTTGTATATAACACGATATGGTGAGGCTCATATCAAAACAATGAATTTTGTTTTAGAACATTCAACCTGATTTATTGTACAGATGCAGAATGCCTATATGTAAATTTACAGATGACCACACAAAGAACATAGTAACAGGTAAAATATTAATTCTCATAATTGTTCATGACTAAAGCTTACAGTATGAAAACAAGTCAGTTTTGTAGGTTTGAAATTGATTATTTCAATAAACTGAAGTACAAAATTAGTAGCGCATGATGCTAAAATAAGTTTACTTAAAAATAGTAGATACAGTATATACCTGAGGAAGGTTTAAGAGTGAGCTTGCCAAATTTGACTTTAGTAATTTTTAATATAGTTTATTTGTTTGTCTTGATGCAGTAAATAAATTTCTGGTATGATTATAGATAGTCCTTGGTTAACAAATGACTTATTCAGCAACCATTTGAATTTATGCTAGCAATGAAAAAGTAGATTTATGATTGGTCCTTGAACTTACATTATTGCAGTGTCTCTGCAATATGGGTGCTTCACTATTTGCAAACAGTTATGACAATCACAGTGTCCTATGGTCAAATGATTTTGTGACCCACATAGCCAGCTTCTGACACACACAGTCAATGGGGAAGTTGGCAGTAAAGTCACAAGTCACTGTCATGTGATATGTTTAATAACTGTGAGATTTGTTTAACAACTGCAGCAGAACTAACGTAAGTTAGATTTAGTCATATAATGTTTCAGTTAACAATCACATCACTTTTGCCAGCCAGTCATTAAGTGAGGACTACCTGTATACCGACTGTTTACTGAATGGGTGGAAATATATGGCACAGATTACAGAGAGGTCTGTTGCTCAAATCAGTGTATCCATTCTACATATGTTTTAGAAGTGATATCTAATATAAATAGGAAAAACAATATTCTTAAAACAAGATACTGCAGGTGTTTATGCAAGAAAAATTTATCATGAAGAAAAAGGTATCAGAAGAAAAATATCCCTATTCTTATTATATTATTCCTTGCTGAGAAATAATGACATTTTATTCTGTTATATGTCTTAGTATATATTTTTTTCATTACAGATTTACCAGATCAGGTTCTACGAGTTTTTAAAGCAGATCAGCAAAGTCGCTACATTATGATAAGCAAGGACACAACTGCAAAAGAAGTAGTTGTTCAAGCTATTCGTGAGTTTGCTTTAACCACCACCCCAGATGCTTATTCTTTATGTGAAGTCTCTGTCACTCCAGAGGGTGTCATTAAGCAGCGGAGACTTCCAGATCAACTCTCCAAACTTGCTGACAGAATACAACTTAGTGGAAGGTGAAAAAATAGATGTTATTTTGGCTTACAATTGGTATTCACTTAATAAAGTCATTTGGAAGCTGTTTATTTATTTAAACCTGATAGATTAATATGTGAAAAATATTTTTCAGGTATTATCTAAAAAATAACATGGAGACAGAAACTTTATGTTCAGATGAAGATGCTCAGGAATTGCTAAGAGAGAGCCAAATTTCTCTACTGCAGCTCAGCACTATAGAGGTGGCTACCCAACTCTCAATGCGTAATTTTGAACTGTTCCGCAACATTGAACCTACAGAGTACATAGATGATTTATTTAAACTAAAATCTAAATTTAACTGTGCTAATTTAAAAAAGTTTGAAGAAGTAATAAACCAAGAAACCTTTTGGGTAGCATCTGAGATTTTGCGAGAAACCAACCAGCTGAAAAGGATGAAGATAATTAAGCACTTCATTAAGATAGCACTGCACTGCAGAGAATGCAAGAACTTTAACTCAATGTTTGCAATAATAAGGTAAGCAAAGATAGATTTTTTTATATCTATTCAGTATAGTATCAAAGGTTAACATGTTTTGTAATAAAAAGGTATTAGATAATAAGTAGAAAGATACACACACACACACACACACACAAACACACACACATATATAATTAGTAAATTTATATTACAAGAATATTTCATCAACCTGAAGCTATCTCAGTAGCTTTAAACAGAGTAAGAGTAATGTAAACTACTTTTCTTCCCTGTTTAAATAATCATTACAAGTTTTCATTATAAATATATTTATATGCATTCTTAAATATCCAGAAAAGTTGGGGACTGAAATGAATGACCACAAATTTCTCTTTAAAGAGTCAATGTGATATAAGTTTCATACTATATAAATCCTTTAAAAGTCACACAATGCAAGTTACATTTAAAAAGTAGTAATACTTACCATGAAGGGGAAAATCCAATTCAATGAAGTTTTATACAATCATTGAAAGCTTTCGAGTTTCTTAGAACTCATCATAAAGCAAAATAGAGAAAATGAATGTGGCCAAGTTTTAATTTATACTTTAATCAGTTAGTATTTTTTTTTTTTATTACATAAAACATCAGTTGTCTCTCCAGATAGCACTGAGTAGTTTGTTCCTTTTTTCCCTCTTCCAAAAATCGCTATGTGTCTCAGGTACATATCAGTTCCTAGACCTATCCCAGATCATCAAAGCCTGACTCAGGACAGTGGTCACACTTTGGATATGATTTTCTTATTGGAGCAATGGCAGTATAATTGGGTGAGGAATCCGTCATCATCCCCTTTGTTATGCCCCTCACATGCCATGGGGGCTGTGATATTTTTCAATGCTGCCCCCTCCTGCAGGGAAGCAGGACCTATTCAAATGATCTGCCCTTGGCAACTAACGGCCTTGCTTGGGTTCCAGAAGGATCTGAGGGATATCCCGGGGATTCTACTGCATGGCCCTGGGGAGGCCTTGGCTACAATCTGAAATCAAAACGACTGGGGCTCTGGACAGGGTCATGCCTGTGTGCCCTCTCCTGGCCTGAAACTCTCTGAGGAATTGAGGGTTCTGAAGAGGGCCCAAAAATGCCTAGAGCACCACTGGAGGAAAACTAAGAATGAACCCAACCAGACATGGATACGAGCCACAGTTAAGGTCTATCTTGTGGCAGTAAGAGCAGCAAAAACAAACTATTTCTCCAGTCTTACTGTATCTGTCACCTGATAGCCCTGCTCAAGGTCACTCAGTCCTTCCTTGGGAAGTAGGGCTCAGAATATCAGAGGATGGTGTAGAACAATTTGCCAGTCACCTGATAAATAAAATCAATTGGATCCATTCTCAGTTTGAGACCAAGTGTAGAACAGGCTCTTTGGAGATTTCTGGGAAACTGACTTGCCTGATTATCTGGGAATGGTTTAACCCTATTGGACCTGAAGAGGTGGACAGGGTCCTTGCAGCTATCAACTACCTGCTTGTTAAATCCTTGTCCTTCCTGGCTGGTGAGAGCTTCCAGGACAGTGCCCTATAGGTGGATCCAGCCATGATTAATGCATCCCTGCAGGAGGGAGTGTACCTGGCACCATTTACCTTGGTACACTACCTCCTCAAGAAACTATCAGACCCAACCTGTCTGGGCAATTTTTGTCCAGTTTCTTGCCTTCCCTTTCTAGGGAAGGCAGTAGAAAAAGTGGTTGCATTGCAGTTCCAGAGGGTCCTAGATGAAATGGATTATCTGGACCCCTTTCAGTCAGGTTTCAGGCTGGGTTATAGGACAGAAATGGCATTGGTCACACTTGTAGATGATCTCTGGCAAGAGCGAGATGGGAATAGTGCATCCATCCTTTATCAGAATAGAGCTGGAAGGGACCTTGGAGGTCTTCTAGTCCAACCCCCGGCTCAAGCAGAGACTCGATTCCATTTCAGACAGGTTACTGTTAAGTCTTTTCTTAAAAACCTCCAGTGATGAAGCACCTACAACTTCTGAAGGCAAGCTGTTTCCACTGGTTAATTGTTCTCACTGTTAGGAAATTTCTCCTTAATTCCAGGTTGCTTCTCTCCTTGATTAGTTTCCATCCATTGTTTCTTGGCTTTCTGATGCTTTGGACAATAATTTGAGCCCCTCTTCTTTGTAGCAGCCCCTCAAATACTAGAATACTGCTATCATGTCACTCTTAGTCCTTCTTTTCTCTAGACCAGCCATACCCAATTCTTCATATCTTTTTGTCTCCAGGCCTTTAATGATCTTAGTTGCTCTTCTCTGCACTTTTTCCAAAGACTCAACATCTTTTTTGTAATGTGGTGACCAAAACTGGATGCAGTATTCCAGGTGTGGTCTTATTAAGGATTTATAAAGCGGTACTAATACTTCATGTGATTTTGATTCTATGCCTCTGTTTATACAACCAAGGATTATAATAGCTTTTTGGGCTGCTGCCACACACTGCTGGCTCATGTTTAAGTGATCATCTACTAGGACTCCAAGGTTCCTCTCACAGTTACTGTTTTTAAGCCAGGTTTCGTCTAATCTGTACTTGTACCTTTGGTTTTTCCTGCCTAAGTATAAAACCTTGTTTTCCTCCACATTAAATTTCATGTTGTTAGATAGGGCCCATTATTCAAATCTGTAAAGATCTTTTTGGACCTTGAGCTTATCTTCGGCGATGTTAGCAATTCCTGCCAGCTTAGTGTCATCTCCAGATTTGATGAGTTCTCCTTCTATTCCCTCATCTAAGTCATTTATGAAGATATTGAAGAGTACTGGGCCTAAGATGGAACCTTGTGGTATCCCACTGCTTACTTTCCTCCATGTAGATGTAGTACCCTTAAGGACTACTTATTGAGTATGTTTTGTTAACCATTTACAAATCCATCTGGTGGTGATACTGTCTATCTCACATTTTTCTAGCTTACCAAGAAGTAGGTTGTGGTCTACTTTGTTGAATACCTTACTGAAGTCTAAGTATACTATGTCCACAGCATTTCCCTCTTCTACTAATTTAGTCAGTTTGTCAAATAATGAAATAAGTTTGGTTTGGCATGATCTGTTTTTAACAAACACATGCTGGCTTTTAGTTATAGCTTTATTTGTTCTAGATGTTTGCAAATCTGTTTTTCTAGAATCCTATCTTTTCTAGAATCTTCTTAGGTATTAATGTTAAACTGATTGGTCTGTAGTTTCCTGAGTCCATTTTTGAACAATATGGAACAATGGTTCTGATAATATCTGCCAGCTCCTTTAGAACTCTGGGGTGTAATCCTTCAGGTCCCAGTGATTATATTCATCAAGATCAGACAGTATATAGGCATTTGAATCCTTTATGGGTCTTGGGTATGTTTCTTATATCATCTACTTTGTAACTGAGATTTCCATCCTTCCCATCACTCTCTACTGCATTAGTTTTTTCTTCTTTCTTTCTTTCTTTCTTTCTTTCTTTCTTTCTTTCTTTCTTTCTTTCTTTCTTTCTTTCTTTCTTTCTTTCTTTCTTTCTGCCTTCCTTCCTTCCTTCCTTCCTTCCTTCCTTCCTTCCTCTGTACTCCCTACCTCCTTATATGATTGGTTATTTAGTGGTTTTTATTTGGAATTAGGTTCTAAAGGTTGTGCAGCTTGTCCCTCCTCCCCCTTCAGTTTTAGTTTAAAGCCCTTTTGATAAGAGGAGCCAGTAGTTTTCCCGAATATATTCTTTCCAGTTCTTGTGAAGTGTAGTCCATCCCTTTATATGGGTAATGCAGACGATGGTCCCGGAAGCTGAAGTTCTGTTGATGACACCAGTTTTTATGCCAGGTTTGTTTCTAAAATCCTTTGATCCTTCATTGGATATTGGCTTTTTGTTGGAAGTATAGATGAAATTACCAGTTGTGCTCCTAATTCTTTAACTTTCTTCCCTAGCTGTTCATAATCTCTTGTTATTGTTATCAGATTCATTGTTGTATCCTTGCTCTTGTTGATCTCTTAACAGCTTTCAATATCATTGACTGTAATATCCTTTTGGGCCAACTGCAGGGTTTGGGGCTGGGTAGTACAATATTCCACTGGATCACCTCCTTTCCCCAGGGCCAGTCTAATCGGCGTTGATAGAAGATGAGATGTCCAGCCTACGGCCACTCCTTTCTGTGGTGCCACAAGGCTCGGGACTCTCTCCACAGCACTCTCTCCACTCCTTTTTAACATCTACATGAAACTGCTCGGTGAGAACATCCAACACCCTGGGAGGAGATGATACACAGCTTTACATCTTCATCCCAGTGAGCCAAGTGGTGCTGTGGCTTCTTTTTCTCAGTGCCTGAAGGCTGTAGAAGTCTGGATAGGGGACAACAGGCTTCAGTTGAACCCTGGCAAGATAGAATGGCTGTGGGTTCAAGGGACTTAAAATCCAGTTGTTTATCATCTTTAGTTCTGGATGGGCTTACACTACCCCAGATAGTTCTGGTGCACAGTCTGTGGATTCTCCTGGATTCACATCTGCTGCTCTAAGAGGGGTGGCAGTTTAGCCAGGAGAGGCTTTGCACAACTTCATCTTATGCACCAGTTGCACCGTTATCTAGATTGTGAGTCCCTGTGCATGTCCTAATCATCTCTTGGTTGGATTTTACAGCAATCTGCTCTACAAAGGGCTATCCTAGAAGAGGCTTTGAAAACTACAGCTAGTGCAGAATGAAATGACATGCACATTTCTGAACTCTCCGAGGATACTTAATTCAGGCATTTTTGTTTGAGTACAGATCATTCTAGACTTACAGTCATTCACTGAATAACCAAAGTTACAATGCAACTGAAAAAAGTCCTTACATCTGGTCCTCACTCTTACGACCCTTGCAAGGTCCCTGAAGCCACATGATAAACATTCAGGTGCTTAACAACCAGCATGGTAATTATGGTGGTTGCAGCATCCTGGGATCACATGATGGCCATTTGCAATTTTCCTTGGCTGACTTCTGGCAGTGGGGGAAGACAGATTCGCTTAATGACTGTTCATTTATTTAACTACCATGGTGATTTGCTTAACTACCATGACAAAAATAATAAAATAGGGCATGACTCACTTAATGACCACATTGCTTAGCAATAGTAATTCTGGTCCCAGTTGTGGTTGTAAGTCGAGGACTACCTATATTTTAGCCAAATTACTATCTATGAAAATGAAGGCTGAATGTCAAATGTCAAGGCAGAGATTCAAGCCCAGAGAGGTTTTTTTTATAATAAACACCACGGTTATAGTCATATAGATGTAGCCAGTGTCTCTTCTAAACCTCTGCTAATAACTTGCTTCTTTTTTTAATATATTAAAGGAATGACTCATAGCATTTTATAGCTGCAGTTTTTTAATAGATTTCACTGTGCTACCCCATATAGTTCTTTCCTTCTGTTTACTGATGATCATTGTCATATCTTTGTACTGTGTTACTTTGTATTATAGCAGTGTTTATAAAATACCTGTCCTTCAATTCACAATATTGTTTGAAGATTTCTGCTTTTATTTTAAGATTAAATTCTTGAAAAGCTTTATTCACTCTGATTTTTAGCCATTTGTTATGTTAACTGGATTAATTTAATTCTTGCTTTACAAAATGAATATGAGTGGTGCACATGCAAATTTCAAAAACCTTTTAAAAATATTGTTTAGTGGTCTGAATTTAGCTCCGGTTGCAAGATTACGAACCACATGGGAAAAACTTCCAAGCAAATACGAGAAATTGTTTCAAGATCTTCAGGACTTATTTGATCCATCTAGAAACATGGCAAAATACCGCAATGTCTTGAATAGTCAAAATCTACAACCTCCCGTTATTCCTTTGTTCCCTGTAATAAAAAAGGATCTTACTTTTCTTCATGAAGGTAAGTTAAAATTACATCGGGTACTTACTATGTGTTCAGCAGTCTGCTGAAATGTGTCAATTGTTTTTGCAACAAATGGAAAAAAAGAATAGTTCTTTGCCATTAATTATTTTGTAATATAGGAAATGATTCCAAAGTGGAAGGATTGGTCAATTTTGAGAAACTAAGAATGATTGCAAAAGAGATCCGCCACGTGGGCCGAATGGCTTCCGTTAATATGGATCCTGCTTTAATGTTCAGGACTCGGTGAGTATTCTGACCAACAGAAAATCAGTTAAAATATGCAATAAACAGTTTACTATATAATAAGAGGCAGGCATACTGTACTGTAAGCTAATTAATTAGTATGTTAATTTACTTAACTAATAAGCATGTAGAATTGGAAATGACATCAAGAATTAGAAAAGCTATCATATTATTTCTTAGATAACTGCATTTTTTTATATAATCATGCATTCTTGTATTTATCAATCTAAAATAAGCAATGGTCCTTTTAGCATTTTTAAGTAATGTACTTGCCTTTTTGAGGTTCACATCAGACTCCTTAATCCAACATGATCAGTAAGCATTGTACATAATAGTTCAGCTCTCACTATTTAGAGATTAGTATTCAGGTTTTGCTTTTCCGCTGATTTTTTCCTGTGGTTCTCTCATTATGACAACTTCAACACAAGCACTGAGATTGTTGTATTATTATGACACATTTTCTAACAATTTGGATGAAATTCTACATATATTTATTTAGGAAAATTAGATGATTCTATTGACACAATTAATTCAATGCAAACAATCTTAAGAGGTTATAATCTATATAGTTGATGTATTCCATGTCAAATCATTTATCATTTTCAGTGGGTCAGATGTAGGCACAATTCAGAAATAGTATTATAGTGGGGAAAGGAGTGGGATAAAGTACCTAAGCAATTTACACAAAAGAGGAGAAAGAAGAGAGAGAGAGAGAAATCCTCCTGATTATTAAGAAAGCACCATCAATTGTGCTTCAGATTTAGTTGTTTATTATAATCATACTTTATGATTATGTAAGAAGAGGGCAAAAGAAAGAGAAGAAAAGAAAAATAAAACAATCCAAGGACCTTGGGCTATAAGATTGAATTTGCTGTTGACTAGTTTTAACTATATCCAGCTTGAGTTTTTTATTAAAATTTTTGAATTAAAATATCATGATGAACCATGGGTGATCAAAATGCCACTACTACAGTATATCCATGTATGAGTTTTAAAGTAATTTAAGAAAAGAATACTCATCAATGATATACACAAAGATGACTGTCCATACAGGTTCAATTTTTCGTATGTTCTAAGCAAGAAAAGAGAGCAGACAATCTTAACATTCTTGATTAAAGACAATAAAAGACTGTGAAATAGCAGTGTATAATAAGTTACTATCTTACTTATCTTTTTATCAAGCAAGATGAACAGGGGAATAAATAGTGTCATACAACATAAATCTCTTTCACTTGATTTCATAAAAGTCTTTCAAATTGTTAGTGGTATCTTGCCCAGAAAGGCAAGGAAATGTGAACTACTGTTAAATAGGAATCGCAAAATTTATTTTCCAATGAAAAACTATCCCAACATTTTGAATCAGGTGTTATTTTGCTTTGTTGTATGACAATTGGTGTTGCTTCTGTAGGGAGGTTCAAAGCACATTCAGAACCAACATGGCCCTATCGACCCCAAAGATATATAATTATTAATTGTTTTGAAAAAGTGCCCGAGAGAAGGCTATTCTGAGATGTCTGTTACAGCTTGTCCTGAAGTCTGACTCTTTTCTTCTGAGCTTATAATCTTTCTCTGTCTCTTCCTTAAATCCATGCTTCAATATTCATGGCTCTCACTTGCAGGAAGAAGAAATGGAGGAGTCTGGGGTAAGTGGCTGGAGAGAACAATACAGGCAGCCATTCCTTTCTTGAACATCTGCATTGTACTTTTCTTGCTTCTCTTAATTTTCTGATGCCTTAGCACTTTTTCCTTTCTGATAACACTTTTTTACTTACATCAAATTTAATCCCAGTGCTTCTTTTGCTTGAGGTCATAAATATAAGAGCTGTGAAACTTTACAAGTCATGAGACACTTTGGCTGGATTTAGCAGTCTCATTTAATGGGATTTATGTTCCAAAATTGGGTTGTGTAATGGTGATTCAGGTATATCAGAAATAAATTTAGATGTGTCTCATTATATACAGTATATAATTATATTTAAAATAAAGTGCTTTTTACAGCTCAACTAACTAAATTATCTTTCTACAAATCGGTCTTCATTCAAACCAAACTTCATTTTTGTTGTTAACGACTTAGATATAACTCCGATAGAGAAAAACATCCAAACCTGCATGTTGTTTCCTTATTAACTAATAAGAGTCTTTATTATATAGCAAGAAGTTCATTTCAATTGGGGAAAACAAAAGAGGAGAGAGATTTGTTACAGTATTTGCAACAAATTAGATGTTTTAATAAATATACTTCCAAATATACATCTTTTAAAAAAAGTATCTGACATTAAGGTTCAGTGAAATTTGATCCCTATTTACTCACTAGGAACATTTTTGTGCATGAGTCCATTTTATTATTAGTACTGCTTTTGAAATAGATTACCGTGAAGAGTTAGTACGGATCATTTTCCCAATGAATAGAATTTCATTATCTTTTATTTTGGGCAGAGTAGGTATTATGGATGTATTTTAATGAAGATATGCACAGACTTATAACTAAAATGTGATTTTAAAATCCTTGATTTTTATCCTTTATTTTAGTTGTATGACTTACCTGAATGAGGCATGTGAGCTTTGACCATAGACTGACTTCATGCAGATCTTTGCATGTTTATAGTTCTTCGAAGGGTTTAGCAAGGAGCTCAGTTTTGGACTTATCATCTTCCTTTACCCTAGGTCTCTTAGCCAAGGCAGTACAAACACAGCAGTACTTGATGTTGCACAAACAGGTGGACACAAAAAACGGGTGCGTCGCAGCTCATTTCTTAATGCCAAAAAGCTATATGAAGATGCCCAGATGGCTCGAAAAGTCAAACAGTATCTCTCTAATCTAGACTTGGAAATGGATGAAGAAAGTCTCCAGGCACTGTCTTTGCAGTGTGAACCAGCCAGCAATACACGTAAGTGTTGTTTTTTGTTCTCTTTTACTATCCCAAATGTCAGGGATATGAAGTAAATTTAAAATGAAAATTATAGTATCCTGAATCATGTTCCTCTGTACCCTAATAGCTATTAGGGTATATATGAACTGCACCCAAGTCAACTTATACTAATAGTAGTTTTATTTTGGCATTAAGTTCAGGCATTTGTGTTTTATTGATTAAAATAATTTGTTTCTTTATAATTTTGTTAATTTCTTAATTGAATCTAATTTTTACTAAGGTATATGAGTTTACGGGAGGTTACAAATAATAAATAAATGAAAATAAATTTAAGTATTTTTTTGCCATGTAAGTAAGAAAAATCTTTATGATTAGGCTGTTTGCATTAGCAAACTGGTTACTATATACCAATGCAGATTGTACTTATACTTTCTTATACTTTTGTTTCTAATATCTTATGTTTTCAAGCCTTAAACTATGTAAATAGTTTTATTACTCTTTATTATAATGTCATATTTTTTAATGATACTGCCTTTCAGTTGAATAAGGAATATTTTAGAACTGTGGACAGATTATATTTTATTTTTCTAAACCATTTGTCATTAAACTCAATTCAAAATTGAAAGATTCTAACAGAATCAATTATCATCTTAATTATGTCATGCTATGTTTTTTGCTTAAGTACCCAAAACTCCAGGGGACAAACGGTCCGGAAAATCTGAAACATCTCCTGTCACACATCGGTCAGGGATGCAGCAGAAGACTCAGCAGCAACAACAGCCCAAGGCAAACCAGGTTTTACAGGTTCCTGCTGTATCACTTTATCCTTCTCGTAAGAAAGTACCAGTAAAAGATCTCCCACCATTTGGTAAGTTCTACAAAGAATTTTGTTTTGGAGAAAAGCAAATTCTCCCAAAAAATTCAATAATTTTGCAAATAATATTTATATTATCTATATTATATTTATATGTAATGTTTATTAAGAATTTTAATAATAATAGTAAAATCTAATACAAGCTAAACTTAAAGAAAAGAGAACAGAGAGGAGGAAAAAGAATAAGAAAAAAGAGAAGAAAAATAAGAATAAGACCATGATAAAGAAAAAGAAAACTATATAAAGAAGTGATTTCAAACCTTCATCACACGTATAAACATATTTAGTAAGTTTTCACCTTTTAAAGTTACAAATATTTTTGCTTCTTTCCATATCTCATCTCTTATCTATAAGAGATTCATAAATAGCAGCAGCTTTTCAGTCCTCATGTAAGCAAAAAGTCCATAAAGGGTAACCAGAATTAACAACATATCTTATATTCAACTTTATATTCCTCCCATTTAATTCTAGCATCTTAATCTTTATTTTATTCAAATATTGTTATAGCATTTTATTTTTCTTTATTTCTTCTTCATCCCATCACATAGAGTTCTTCAAGGTTTTAACAAGTCTCTTTTGTTTAATCCAGTAGGAAAATACTATCCTGGTCACTTTCTTTGTTTGTCATTTGTATTTCCCTTTTTAAAAAATGAAATGTATTTTTCCAAATTAGTCTCTTGGACTCTCAGTTTTAAATCTACTTTCAATACTATATTTTGTCAGACAAAGTTTGTTCTGCATCTCACATTTCTTCAATAACATCTTTTGGACATAGTCTGTCCATAAAAGTAGACATTATTACTGATATTGTTGATATTATGACTACTGTTTTCTGATTCCATTCTTTAAAAGGTGGGGGGGGTTTTTTGAGCATTTTTATGGTTACCTAAAATCTTTAATCTCCTCAAGGGCCCAGTTTTTGAAATCATAATATTCTTTATGCATGTTATGTCTTGTAACAACCAAAACAGGATCTATTTTCCACAAGAAGCTGTTTATATTTTATAATTAATTCCAAAATTTTATTGTAAATGTTTCACTATTCCACTTTTATCTGGACCCTTAGTCTTTTTATAATTTTCTAGGATAAAATCTTATTTAGCTTTTGGGTATGTCTTTCATATTTTTAAAAAATTTTAAGTTTGTGACTAAAACTTAAACTTTTTTTTTGTTCATGATTAAAAGCAGACTCGCAAAGCATTTTTAAACTTGTCACTCCAAAGATCTGTAATAGTAGTTGATGAGCAATTTCCAAAAGTGATTAGAACACAAGATGTGAACTTAATGTCTTTTAAGTCTCCATTGTGGTTGGGAGCAATATGATTAATTACATCATCTTCTGGTGCTCAAGCCCATGGAAAAATGCAGTTCTGCAGTCTCTTCTCTTCATGAAGAGCAACCATCCAGAGCATATTGGATGACATCTTATCCTTTCTTTACCTGGAGAGTGATTTGGTTATTATTTGCTCCACAGTTGGAGCATTCACAACTTCTGGAGGCAAGTTGTTCCACTGATTAATTGTTCTAACTGTCAGGAAATTTTTTCTTAGTTCTAGGTTGCTTCTCTTCTTGATTAGTTTCCATCCATTGCTCCTTGTCTTGCCCTCAGGTGCTTTGGAGAATAATTTGACTCTCTCTTCTTTGTGGCAATCCCTGAGATATTGGAACACTGCTATCATATCATGCCTAGTCCTTCTTTTCATTAAGCTAGATAGACTCAATTCCAGCAATCATTCCTTATATGTTTTAGCCTCCAGTCCCCTGATCATCTTTGTTGCTCTTCTCTGTACTCTTTCTAGAGTTTCAACATCTTTTTTACATCGTGGTGACCAAAACTGGATGCAGTATTCCAAATGTGGCCTTACCAAGGCATTATAAAGTGGTATTAACATGTCACGTGATCTTGATTCTATCTCTCTGTTAATGCAGCCTAGAACTGTGTTGGCTTTTTTAGCAGCTGCCATTTCTTCTGAATCATAATAATTTATGAATTGACATGAGTTGACATTAGCAAGAGTGTCATAAACTTTGAGATTTGGGAGTCATTTTTCTGCCTCTGTGTAATTTCATGGCAGGCGTGGTGAAGATAAATGTAAATGGATAATGAGCTATATGAAGAAATGGGAAGTTAAAATGTAATTAATGTTACATTTGAAAGGCCCATGAGGTGCCTTAATATGGACATACTGAGGAAAGTATATATGTATATCTGAAGTTTGTTTTCCTTTTTCCCTGTAAGGCATAAACTCCCCGCAAGCTTTAAAGAAAATTCTTTCACTCTCTGAAGAAGGAAGTTTGGACCGCCATAAGAAGCAAGCAGAAGACACAATTTCAAATGCTTCTTCACAATTAACGTCTCCTCCCACCTCACCCCAGAGCTCTCCGAGAAAATGTATATTAGTGCTATCAAACATTTTAAAATTCTTACATGCTCTCTTCTCTAATCATAGTTACCTATAGTAACAGTTAACAATAACCATAATCATTAGTTGCCAAAAATATAATATGTTGCCAAAAATCCAGTAATCCATGATTTATAGTGAAGAGTCATTTGCTTCCATTATAAATTATATGCTATAAAGTCCCTTAAGGGAATCATTTTTTTCTGTGTTCTTAAATTTATATTAAAATATATGCAAAAATATGCATAAATTTATAGGCAATATTGACTACTACTTTGTCTTAAAAAAAACCCCACTGCCAACGGCTTTATGCACTCCCTTTACATTCAGTTGACTGAAAAATTTAGAAAAAAAAATGCTGATTCATCTGAACAGACTTAGAGGAGTTTAATTAACTCAGCCACAGCCATTTTTTATAGTCATTTCATAATCACAAATTCTATAACTTTATTTCTGGGGGTTTTTTTCCCCAGAAGAGTCAGATTTCTTGACTTTTATGAGGCTGGGTAGCTAAGATTGGGAAAATAGGTTTCTCTGTCATGACCCATATGTTGCAGAGATATGATAAGCCCAGACACCAGAGGGCTTCTGAAAGCAACAAAACAAAGCATTTACAAAGCACTTTTTAAAGCTTTTAAAGCTTTTCATTATGAAATAATGAATCTTCTAAATATTTTTTCTTTATTTCTTGCTTTGTCTTTCAACTGAATGGTAGTTATTTTTAATGATCATTTCTTACTGTACCATTGACATTTATTTATTTGTTTGTTTGTTTGTTTGTTTATGCATCCATGCATGCGTGCATGCTGTGGATGAGTTATGTTTCTTTTTGTGTGCTGCCAAGAATCTTATAATTGTAGAAGTATGGAAATTTAATAAGTCGTAAGATTACCTTCATTTTCAGGCATAGCATCTCTATATGTGGAGATAACTTCTCTCAAAAAACATATCAGTAAGTTCAAGGAAAGTGAATTGCTGCTGCAATTGTAACTTTGCATTTTTAAGGATAGTGTAGCCAGACATGTTTATTGTGTCAGAACTGATTGAAAAGTGCAAGAGTACAGTAGCAAGTATACATTATGAAGGAATCATGCCTGCCAAAAGTTATATGACTATATTCATCAGGGCTGAAAAAATCATCAGGACTGAAATAAAGAACAGATTGTGCAAAGTAGGGTTTCTAACTGATAAAAAAAGATATATTTTTCAAAAGAACACATTGCATATTATACTTCCTCCTTTTCAAATTCAGCATCTTGGAAATGAGATATTATCAATATTCCATTGTACTTTATTTGTTTTTGGAATAAGAAGACATTTGAATTTGTTCTGTTTGTTTGTAGTTTTTATATAAATTGTGGAAAGTTTTATTAAGTAATTAAACTATTCTTCCTGCAGGTTACATGCTGGCTCCTAGTGGCACAGTGGATAACTTTTCCGACTCTGGTCACAGTGAAATTTCTTCCCGATCTAGCATTGTCAGCAATTCTTCTTTTGACTCCATGTCAGGGTCTTTACAAGATGAAAGAAGACAGAGGCACTCAGTCAGCATTGTCGAGACTAATCTTGGAGTGGGCAGAATAGAAAGAAGAGCCACGGTTGAACCAGATCAGTACAGTTTAGGGTATGATGTTCATGTTTTATATTTATTTAAGACTTCTATGTGATGTTTATTTATTTACTCTGCTCCTTGAATCAGGTTTTGAATACATATGTTGCTATAAAACGTCAACAATTTTGCCTCTTGATGACTTAGAAACTATAAAAAATATAAGACTAAACCTGTAGGATCTATAAGAATAAATCTATAAGATCTATAATACAGATCAATTCTCAGGTATGAACAACCAGACCCATACATGTGGAGTTCAAACTTGCTACTTTATTGATCACAGGAATCAGTTTTTGCCTAGAAAAGATTAGATAAGGCTCATAAGTATGGGGGTTTGTCAGACCTTGCCCTCTTGTGTTTACTTAACAAGTCCAGACTAATTCCACCCTTGAGTCCTCTTCTCTGCTGCACTTTTAGATTCAATATCTAAAAGATTTTTCAAAGCAGATCAGCACATAAATACAGAGAGGTCATTTGGGCAATGGTTGAAGCAGCTTTGTCTTTTCCTGGGGTCATAAAAACTAAAAATTGTGTGTGTGTGTGTGTCTACAAATGCATCTATTTATCTGTCTATCACCATATGTTTCTATGATCTGTTCTGTTGCTAGATTTGAATATATTCTTGTTTATTTATTTCATTTATATTTTTATTCTCTGAAAGGAAAAAAAAATAGAAAAATACATGTTGAAAACCCAACCTTGTCTTACTTGAAATAGCACTGATTATGATAGATTTAGCTGCATGTATTTGGACATTACAGCACAGATAGTCTTCAAAGTATGACCAACATTTGAGCCCAACATTTCCCTTGCTAATCAAGGCAATTGTTCAGTGAATTTTGCCCCATTTTATGACCACTTTTGCCAGGATGGTTAAGCGAATCAGTTCAATTGTTAAGTGAATCATGCAGTCATTAAGTAAATCTGGCTTCCCCCATTGACTTTGCTTGTCGGAAGCCATCTGGCAAGGTTACAAATGGTAATCACAAGACCCTAGGACAGTGTAACTGTCATAAATACATCCCAGTTGCCAAGGGTCCAAATTTTGATCATGTGTCCATGGGAATGCTACAGTGGTTGTAAGGGTGAAAAGTCAACTTTTTCAGTACTTATAACTCTGAATGGTCACTAAATGAATAGTTGTAAGAAGACTACCTGTATCTGTAATGATTAAAATGCTTTGTATAATTACAGAATATAAGTAAGGGAAGAATAACTTTTTAATGTATTCAAGGGAACAAAAAGTATACAATTTGTCTTCTACTGTACCAGTTGCTATTGGTTACATCCAGTAGTGGGATTCAAATATGTGAACAACCGGTTTTCTGTGTGGTTGCCACTTCCGGAAGTCCATTCTGGACCTGGGCAACAAAAAATTAGCTACTGGTTCTGCTGAAGTGGTGCGAAACGGCTGAATCCCACTACTGGTTACATCATTGTGTTACGTTATAGTGACTAATGATTTCATTGCTATGCATTTTTAGCTCCTATGCAGCACTGTCAGAAAACAGAGGGTTCTATGCTGCAGCAGCCATGCTTTCTTCTCCCAGTACGGAGGAACTATCACAGGATCAGGGTGATCGAGCGTCACTTGATGCAGCAGATAGTGGACGAGGCAGTTGGACTTCTTGCTCAAGTGGTTCCCATGACAACATACAGACAATTCAACATCAGCGAAGTTGGGAAACTCTGCCTTTTGGACATGTTCATTTCGATAATTCAGGCGATGGGGCAGGATTGTGGGCCTCAGGCAGTCACATGGACCCATTGATGTTCTCCGATCATGGCACAAAGTATGGCAGGCAGAGTCAAGGTAGGGAGGGCCTTGATCAAGCACAGTCCAGAGCAAGCTGGGCATCCTCCACAGGATACTGGGGAGAGGACTCTGAAGGTGATACAGGTACCATAAAACGGAGGGGTGGGAAAGATGTATCAATTGAAGCTGAATCCAGTAGCATAACATCCATAACAACAGAGGATTCAAAGCCGGTTCCTATGCCAGCTCATATAACTATGCCAACAAGTAACACAAAGGGTCTTATTGGTAAGTTTAATTTTGTTTTCCACAAACTATCCTACATATTTATTATTAATTTATTTTATAGATATTTTTCTTTAGCCTTTTAAAAATGTAACAAGAGGTTAACCTTTATCTCATATTTTCTTTTTTCCATGAAATCATTTGCACTGTGAAAAGTAATGCTTTCTGTTGCAGGTACTGCTTTTGTCATTGTCATCATAATCATCATCATGTTACTAAAGCCAAATCTTTAAAATCATTTCCATAAAGCAGTACGCACTTGTAAAGACTATTTGAATAAACATTAAGAGTTATGGAAAAGATGAATTTCCTATGCACAGTTGCTGCTTCCCCACCCAGCCTATGCTCTAGCCTATAGCTTCTACCTAAGCTCACCTTCACCATCAGTTTCCCCCAACTCTAAAAGTAATTCTGGTTGAGCATTACAGCAATTGAAGTCCAAAACTTCTGGAAATTAATGTAGAATGCTGTCATGAAGGACTCAAAGCAAATTACTGATCATATACCTTAGCATCATAATGGTTTAGTAATTACACAGCATCCAAAGTTGTTGTAGTGACCCATTTAAATCAAATTTATTTGAGAACAGGAAGCATTACTCTCATTCTGAGTAGACTGACAATTTCACTTGACTATGTGGACATATAATTAAACCAGATCAGCTTTTGGCTGACTGGAATATTTGGAATTTGGAAACCATGTTGATGTTCTCATAAAATGACTGACGGGGGGGGGATGGGGACGGGACTTTCCTTTTAACAAAATAGTGAGTTACTAAGCACCACAATGTTTCCTTGTAAATTTTGTCCTTTTTCTAACAATTGAACTCATTTGCAAATGAAGCACTGGCCCATCAGTTTATTGTCTAAGAAAGGTTATGGGTGTTAGAAACAGAAATGATGCTAGAAGTCCTTTGCAATATGACAGCTTCCCCCCCCCCCACACACACACACAGAGAAACATTTTTTAATGTTAAAAAAATTGAGGGGGGAGTTTGGAATGTGCCAAAGCAGAACCTACAATGAGGTCCGATAATTGCATTGCCTTCTTTGCTAACTTTGTCTGAATTGATTGATTTCCCCCTTCTCACAAAAGGACTTAGGTTGTCTTTTTGCTTATCCAGATACTAATTAAATTTGCATTCTATGCCAATTCAAATATTTATCACATTTACTTTGTGCATTTTGAAGAAATTGTTTTTGGAAAAAAACCACTTCAGATGTTTAGTGAATTGAAAAATAAAAACAATGATTTTATTGGAAGAGTGCTTCAAATTATACACTTCATTTGTTTTAATATTATTAACTTGATTTTACTGATTTTATTGAACTATGCTGAAAAATTTAGGCAAAACATGAATCTTGTTATAATGAGGGAACTATATAAGCATTTAAAACCATTTACTTTGCAAATTGGTTTAATATTATTTGCCTTTTTTGCTAAACAATTAAACTCTAATGATACATTATACCGTATTACATAGAGTCCTTGTAGTACTAATTTTTATAGTACTAAAGTCAAAGACATCTTTTCCAGAGGTCACCATTCCTTTGTGAATTCCCTTTATGAGTGCTTTCTAAAATGGTTTTAAATCTTCACTTCTGGTCAGTTGCTATTCTGTCTTTTCTGTAGCTTTGTTAAAGTGTTTCTATTTGTGTCTTATAAATAAGACATACACATTAAAATAATGTCTACACCCGCAAAATTAAGTCAAATTAAACAGTTTTGTATGATATTTGTTTGATAGAAAAGTTTTAAGCCCATGATGAACTCCCCATTAGAATCAATAAAATTGAAAACATAACTGCCTTTTGACTGCCTTATGTAGTCAACCTCATGTAAACATATCACATTTTGAAAATCATAAAAAGGTTAGTGCTGTGGTGGGCACGCACGCCATCGCCCCAGTCCTAGGCCTTCAGCTGGGTTTTATAAAGCTTTTCGCTTTAGGCCTCTGCCGCCATGTGCACAAAAAAAAAAAAAGGTTCAATCAATCAATTAATTTCAACGTCTCGAGGGGAAAAAAAAGATCCGCAAAGTTGGAATTGATTTGATTGAACTTTTTAGTCCCACCCAGTCTGCCGTTACCACTGAAGCCACGCCCACTCAGCGGGCCATGCCCACCCAATTGGCCACACCCACCCAATTGGCCACACCCACCTGGCACCTGATGATACATAAGTGGGTTTTGGGTTGCAGTTTGGGTACTTGGCCATCACTAGGTTAGGGCATTAGAGGAGATGGTGCAAATCCACAAAAGACTGACTTTTAGTGGCTTTTTTAATGCTTCGTCGTTATGATGCATATGATGGTTTGCAAGACATTGCACATAACCTAATGCAGAATCAATATCAGTATATATTATGAATTACACAAATATTTGTAAATTATTGCTAATAGTGTATTATTTTACTGCAGCTCGAAAAGAGGGTCGCTATCGTGAACCACCACCAACCCCTCCGGGTTATGTAGGAATACCTATTGACTTTGGAGAAGGAATTTCTCATCCAGTCCGAAAACCTCCAGATTACAACGTAGCACTTCAGAGGTCTAGGATGGTGGCACGGTCTAATGAAGCCCCTGGGACTTCAGCTTCACCTTCACAGCAGCAATCACAGGGTCATTCCTCTATCAGGCCTGTTAACAAACCTCAGTGGCATAAACCAAACGAGTCAGACCCACATCTTGCTCATTATCAATCTCAAGGGTTTTCCACAGAGGAGGATGGTAAACATCTTATCACATTTTGAAAATCATAAAAGGATAATTTCGCAAAGGGCATTAGAAGGGATGGTGCAAATCTACAAAAAAAAATGACTCAGGCTCTGACATTAAAATTTCTCAGTTTGTTGCCTGAATACTGTATGTTTATGAAGGAAAAGATCATAGGACATTAACTGTTTGGCAGATATGCTAGGTTTCTCCTAAGCCATTGTGAAAGGCTGAAAACTCACACCACATGCTCATAATTGTTTAAATGTGGTGTATAACTTTTTTTGTTGAAAAAGAGCTTCTCTGAACAGAATGTTGAAAACATTTTTAAATACATTGTTTTGTATACAAAACAATGCTGAAGAAACTGTGGCCTTGATGTTGCTCCACAATACTAGCTGAATATGATCAAATTCCAGTAAAGTCCCTCAGGCCAGTTATAAAGGTGTACTTCAGTTGTAATATATAATTCAGGATTATAAATAAATGGAACCAAATTCAAGAATGCCAAATATATGCCAGTTTGGTGTAGCAGTTAAAGGCTCTGGGCTAGAGACCATGAATTCTAGTCCTAAGGCCAGCAGGGAGAGTTTGGGCCAGTCACTCTGTTTTAGCACTAGGAAGAAGGCAATGGCAAGCCACTTCTGAAAAATGCATGCATTCACTAGAAGACTAGAAGTTTTAAGTATCTTTATCTTTATTTCCCTTCTGTCATGTTGTATTTGCAGAAGATGAGCAAGTCTCTGCTGTCTAAGAATTGGAGCTTTCGGGATTACAAGTAAGCCAACTTTAAGGAGAGCACAAGATGACATCCCTAATATAGGAGCCTTGGAACATTAATTAAAGGATGGTGGACCTGTGCCTCCTTCCCTGCCTTAAAGCAGCATGGGCTTCTTCTCCCCTTCTTCCCCCCACCCTTCTCCCTTTGCATGTGAAATACTGTGAAGAAATTGCCCTGGCACTTTTCAAACTGTGTTGCTTGAAATGCGCAGTGCAGCATCCTCTCAGCTATCACTGTTGCTGTCTACCACATCACACAGTATCATTCCAAAATCAAATCGTAACTTTGACTGCACTCTCCCATGCCTGGAAGCATTTTAAATTCTTTTTCCTATCTTAATCCTGATCCTAGCACTTCACTTGATTGTGATGAAGAGATCAACTAGTGGACAAATATATTTGGCCTTTATTAAGAAAGAAATGTATTGAAATCCTTCAAGTACACAGTGCTTGTTTCTTGTTTACAATGCCTTTGTTGCTACTCTCTCTATATATTGTATTTGGAGAGGGGTAAAAGGTTACACCTGCGTTAACTACAGTATTATTTTGTATTATTTAAGAAAGTTTGCTAGCCTGGACTACTTTAAAAAAAAAAGTGATGATGTGGTTAACTAAAAATGGCTTGGTTTATAGGAAGGATTCAGCCTTTCAAGCTTCGTTTTTAGTGTTCCACTCAAAGCACAGTTGATTAATTTCAGAATTTCTGGTTTTGTTGCTTTGTATCTCTAATGATGTGGTTCTATTGACTCTTGCAAATAATCTGTGAAGAAAGTTAGTGTCCTTTTCCTGTGCCTTAAGGAATACAGGATGGTAAGTAAAAATATTTGTCTTCAATTGTCAAATGGCAATATCTTCTTTTGCTTAAAATACTTACATGATTTTTCCATCCTCCTCCTTGTACTACGTAATGGGCTTTTGTCACACAAATAATCAGGGTAATGTATTAAGGCAATTCAGCACACACTGCAACCAGTGCCAATCTCAAACTGTGTTGCTATTGGCTTGGCATTAGAAAATAGTGAACCTTTTGAAGAAAGTAGGTGTCACTCAGCAAGCTTTTGCAGTGAACAATTATTCATAATTGTCTTTTACAGAACATTGCATATATAGAGGAGGCCAGTGGGTATCAATCACCTGCTTACAGCTGCTATGAACCCTTTAGTGTTGGAAATGAAAATACATCCCCTTTCTATTTTCTGTTGTTATTTTGGTTTTGCACAGACTCCAGAAAAGTGAAGGCTGCCAATCCGAGTAGTACTCAAATGTGAGGAACTGCTGTTCTTGGATTTTTTTTCATTAAATTCAGCTGATCATATTGATCAGTAGATAAAAGTAAATAGTATCAACTTATAAAGATCAATTTACAGTGGTTTTTCACTGTATTGAACAATGTCAGTGCTTTATTTAATCGCTTTCTCCTATAATCATAGCTCTTCTCTATTTGCTTATATATCACCTTGTCAATTATGCATTTGTAATTTTACATGTAATATGCATTTGCCAGTTTCATTATATAGGCTATGGACCTCATGTGCATATAGCAAAACAGAACAAACCTAGCTGTCTCACAAGTTGCACAAATGTTATATAGGAATTAAGTAATTGTAGACCATAGGACTGCTAATCTCAGTTCACTCTGTGATGTCAAGTGCAGAATGTACGACTTACTGGTGATTTCCTCATACTTTTGATACTACTTGTACCTGTATGTCTTTTAGAAAGACATTGGTGGAGTCTGTATCCCTTTTGTATTTTTAATACAATAATTGTACATATTGGTTATATATTTTTGTTGAAAATGGTAGAAATGTACTATGTTTATGCTTCTATCCAGTTTGTATGAAGCTGGAATATAAATAAATATAATGTTAATGATGTCTCATTTGTTTGTGCTCATTTGCTTGGGAGACAGCCAGTTATGTGCAATATTCATATATGTGGGGGAGAACCATACATATAATTTTAGTTGCAGAAATTATTTGAGGAACTTTTAAGACATAAATCAAGATCCAGTAGCAGTAATATTATGGTAAAAATCATGCACGGATTGTCATGCAAAATATACAGCAAGATATAAAATATCATTTTAAGTTGGTTGATCAGTTCCTGTCTCAACCAACGGATCAACATTCTGTACATCTGAAAAAGGAAGAACAGACCCTGCACTTGCAGGAAGAATGCTAGGAAGAAAAAAATATATTTTAACCCAACTTATTTTATGAAATATTTTATGCACAAGATAAATTGCTAACTTTTATAGAAATTTATTTTACATATTATGAGACTAGGTTCTATGAAATACTAATTATGAAGAGTCAAGAATTTTAGGAGATTTAAATATACAATTTGTTTTAGTGTAGCATAATCTACATCTTATTGCTGTCTCTGTTCCCTGAAATCAACATCTGGATTTATTAGTGTTGATGCTCTGTGGGTGGTCCTGCATTATATAAACTTAAGCAGTGATTAAGTATATCCTTGTTTTATAACAAAGCAACTATAAAACAAATTTAACTCCAGTAATAAATAGTCATGTAATTTTTTTTAATGAAGATTGGGTTGATAGCTTTTGAAACACATTTTAACACTGAATATGCAAAAAAAAATATCTCTCTCCAATATACTATAAAAATCACTTTCTGATACAAATAATATGCTACATTATTTTCTCTGTTGTGAAATGTTAGACATGGATAATTTCATTTCGATAAGGGTGACTGGATACACACAGCAATATTATATAAAAGGTGTACAGAGATGAAAGTGACAGAACAAATTATGCTATAATTGTTGAATAATACATTGAGTATGAGGAGATTACATTTAAATCTCTATGGAGATTCTCAGTCATCCAGGTCATGGTTGTCCCGAAGGTGCTTTTTAAAAAGGCAACTGGACTTTGTTTTTCGTACAAAGCCCTAAAAACAAACTCCAGTTGCCTTTTGAAAAAGCACCTTTGGGTTTCACACAGTATTTAAGTATAAATCTCCAAAAAGAAGAAAATGTCTTTTTCAGATGATAATAGCATAACTTCAAATGGATAAATGCTGTTTCTGTATATATTTATCCAAGAAAAGACCCAGAATTTATGATAATCTTCAAAAACAAGACAAAACAAGGAAAAACACATTTCATCAGAAATAGTCAAAATTTAAAGTCAGCAAAGACAAGTTCATCCATTCTTAAATCCAGTTGGTGAGGTAATGTTCCAGGGTACCCATGCTTTCATAGTTGCTGAAATGACCCTTCATGTGAACAGGACCAAATTCTGTGGTCTTTGTGTTTGGAAAGTGATAATCTACAATGGGGGCAGCAGTAGGAAAGTGCCTGACTTGTGAGTAAAGAGACACTATAACAGCCATAGGTTCAAGGATCAGCCATAAATCCTTTTTCAGCAAAACTATAACTTTGAACAGTTGCTGAACAAGCAGTAAATGAGGACTATCTGTATAGATAACATCCACCCATTTTTAAAAGTAAGAAATGTTCCATGAGTTGCTTGAGGTCCAAATTCATCTTTTCTCCTTTTGATCATTTTTATAACTGCAGTCTTAAGCTTTGTACATCCCTCAACCTAATTCTAAAAATATTTTGACATTAATGTTTTCTTAATGTGTGAGAAAATGAAAAGAAAATCAAGTTTCAAATACAAGAATGATGTTAAAAAAGTATAGACTGCTTTAGTCTATTCTTTTTACAGCATACACCTTTAGCCTTATCCAAGGTATGTTCATACCTATTGCTTGTACAACTTCTTTTGGCATCCCAGAATTTTATTTCCTCTGAGATAATGCAAAGTATCGTATTCTGCTTTTTTACTAAAAGATCAAGACAGCTGTATGTGCTTTGCAGAAAGTATTTTATAAGATGCCCTTAGTAGTTTTCACAGGAAATGGCCAAAACCACCCTGTAACAAGTGTTCAGTTTCAAAATGATTTCAATATTTTGCAGATGATTCAGGTCCAATCCAGGACCTCTTACATTATATTTAACATTATAGAAAATTGCTAGCTATCAGTCAAAACCATGCTTGATAGTTTAGCCAAGTGTTCTAATTACTGCAAGGCAACTTTATGAGTTTCTATTGTTAGGTCTAAAAGAAGTTGCCTTTCACCATTTTTGTCCCTCTGCTATAGCATTCCCCATATCTATATATCTGATAGAATGCCCCACATACTTTTCTGATACCTATGCATTCTTTTCTTATTAGCTGCTTTCCCATTAGCAAAATCAAAATAAAAAATATTAAAAATATGGTGAAAAAAGTCATTAAAAGAATCTTTAACTTAACTTTTTAAAATGTAGGAGACTGAACTTGTCAACAATTGATGCAAAACTGGAACCTCCCCCTGTATTAATTATCTTTAATCTCCTCCAGATATTTCAAAATCAATCACTTTGCTTAAAGAAGTAAATGATCTATGTTGGCAAAGCTGTCCATGCTGTTCAAAGGTGGGCAGTCCAAGGTGAAATCATTCAAAAATTTCTATATAGCACTGTAGAGTGTCTTCACTATAATAGTCCATAGTCTTTTTGCCATCTTGGCTTTTGCACAAATTTGTCTTATGTACCAATTGTGTCCATTCCTAAACTGGGAGGCCTTGCTCATGGAAACTTATACCTCAGTCACTTTCTGTGTGGATCCCAGTAACTTACTCTACATGGGGCTGCCTTTGAAAAATACTTGGAAGCTGCAGTTGGCCATGAATGCACAGATGTGGTCAGGTTTTGAGTATTTCTCATTATACCCATAAAGTACCACTCTCCCATGAGTTGCTCTGGGTCCAAGTAAGTATCTAGCTGTGATTCAAGCTGCTGGTTATCATCTACAAAGTGTTCCTAAATACTGTGGGAATCAAAATAATATGGAAAAAATAGTAATTGAAAATGGGAGTTAACTTACCTTGGTTAAGCAAGTGAATATATTGCAACTTATATGTGAATTGCAAGAGTAGCTTTTGAATGGCCTTAGTAGCTGAGAAGATATTTAGTGTACCTTGGTGACATACTTTCTACCACAGAGATAGTCTCAATGTAGTACTGCTGGCTTTAAATAATTAAGTTGGATTACTTTAATGTTTCATACATAAATACTAAGGCATTTCTTTTTTAATGTACACAGAAAAGAAAGAAATAGGAAGCCAAGAAAATTCAAGACATAAGATGACAAAAAAAGGAAATCTAGCTAAAACTAGATTATATCAATGCTATTTATTAGTTGCTCCATATCTTTCTAACTTTAAGTACTATTCTTGCTTCTGTGCTTTCATTATGTCCATATGCCACTTCATACATTATTATTTTTCTGTATTTCAGGATCTTTTCAACTCCATTCCTTAATGAATTTCTCAGCCATCCTCTTGCTGTCAGCCCATTTGTTCTTAGTATGTTTGGGTATATATGTCTGAATGTCTAGCTATTTATCCATCTATCTTATCTCCATTCTCTCTGCATGACCAAATTACCTCATTGTGTTTCTTTAATACCTGTCACTCATTTTGTATTCAGTCCACATTAATTCATCACCTATTCATATTTATCGATCTTTTACATGTTATATTACATACTTTTGTAGTACCCCATTAGTGCTATATTCCACTATATTTCTCTTTGTATAAGCAACATTTGATTCCTTATAACAAATTGGACAGAAGCACACTTCTAAGCATAGCTGTTTTCTCTTTGGCAAATTTTTATCCCTCACAAACTATCTTTTCCCAATGTTTCACCTCTTTACATTTCTTCATGTATCTTCCCATGTTTAAAAAACATGCTAAAAAGGTATAAAAAATTCAACTATATGTTCTTTTCAGCTCTTTTCATTCTCAATATATAAATTGCAAGTCCACTGTCCATGTCAATCACAACTTTCATCTTTGATACCAACATCTCCAGATCCAATCTGCTATATTGTCTAGTGCTAACATTCACAAAAAAATATTCAGATGCTCAGCCAATAACACAGTATAAAGAAGTGCATCTTACCAACAGATTTTTAATATCATCAAACCATTATTTTATTTTGTTGGGAAAATAATCTATTAAAGTTTTTCATTGGAACACATCCTATTGCTTCAGTAATTCTAGGTTGATTCAGTTGCTTTTAATTTTTTTCAAGTTCATTTTTTAAACCTAGTATATGCTCTGAGTTCTGTTCCATATTCAGAGCCTCTGGTCAACCTTTTATCCTTTACTATGTTTTTCAATCATTCATTATAAACAATTGGATAGACATTTAAGATGATGTTCACCAATCTTAAAAAACAATCATTCTTTTTATTCATTCTTAGTTTTCCGATTGATCCATGGAAGTTTTCCATTTTCTCTTATCCATTCATTCATCCAAGCCCTTCACGCACAGAATGGAATTATTTGAGTGACCACCTCTTCACAATTTCATCTGCCCATTCTCCCCAGGTTCTGTGTCCTGGAGAGCTACATTTGGCAAGCTCTAGGTGGCAGACCTCTGCTATGGCTTCTGCACTATGGAATCTTTTCTCCTCTGAAGTGAGGTCAGCTTCATCACTTTTGAATTTCTGGAGGTCACTCAAGACCAGGTTATGCCAGCAGGTCTGGGGACTCCAGGGGACAGGTAAGCTAGTGAAGTGGTTCAGCTATTTTTAAAATCCTTCTATCATTCTTTGTTTTAGTCTGATTTTTATATGTTTTAATGTATTTATTAACTTTTATTTACTGTTTTTAGCTGTCCAGAGTTTTGTAAGACAGGCCGCTATATAAATTGGTTTAATAAATCAATAAATTTATATCATATGGAAGGGTATTATTTTCTCTCCTGAATTGCATTAATTCAGAATATTTTCCATAATTGATATTTTGTTCTTCTACTATCACTTATTACTCATTATATTCTAAATTA